GTCGCTCACTCCCAAGGTCCGGCCGCCATCTTGGCGCCGTGGCGCGGGGCAGCTCGGATTGGCATGGTGGCGGAGGTGGTGGGAGTCGGGGGGCAGGGCGGAGCTGGGGGTGGGGGGAACGCGGAGGTGGTGCGCTAGCTTGGAAGTGGCAAAGGTGAGGTGCTCGTGAGCGAGACGCGGGCGTAAACCCAGCCTCCTTTTCGGAATATCGGGGACTACCTTCATCAGCGTAGGGTACCTCTACATCTCAGGGAGGGTAAATGAATGATGTGCATCTTGGTCATCGGGGAGGCAAGACGTTCGCATCTCAGTGAGACCTGGGCTGCCATATTGAGAGGTCTGACTCATGATTCTGAGGCTTCCTGGCGGCCATTTTGAGGAGTGTAAGGAGTGTGCAGCCTTGGGTATAAGGATTGTTTCTAGTTCAGAGAGGCTTTATGGTCTGTAGGGAACTTTTGTTGGTGTTAGGGAGTGGACCAGGCGAACTTCCTGGGAAGACGCATTTGGCATGGCCGAAGTTGACGCTCTCCTACCAAGGAGGAGGAAAGAGAAACCCCCTGGTCCCAGGGGCCTTGGGCACCTGCCCACCTCCCAGCCTTGTTCTGCTTAGGCTCTGGAAAGGCTTGTAGACTTGATTTCCTTGTTTAGCCACCTTTCTACAGTCTAGGCCTTCCACTTTGGATGTTGGTCACTGTCCTGTGTCACCCCAAATTGTAGTTACGCTAGTGCGAGGGATGGAGGCTTTTCTCTCACTTAACCACTCCTTGGGAGAGGAAGAGCCTCAGCTGGCTGTTGCTGATGTTTGTCAGGGGAGGCATGCTGTGGCACCCAGCAAGAGCTGAGCCAGTGGATAGCCCTGGACATCAAACAGCTTTGCAGTTGTGGGGCTGCAATTTGAGAATTCTTGAAGGTGAGCGAAATCTGAAGATGCTGCTGCCTTTGTAACGGGGGCAGGTGTCCTTGCCTCTCTCAGGACAGAAATCAAGAGAGTGGGCGAAACAATTTTGCAGAGAAAAAGATTTATTAAAGCAAGAGCTTGATGCACCAAGGGAGTGCACTCTGAAAGAGAATGGATGTGGCTCCCCAAAGTTTATAGGTACAGCGGTTTTATAGGCTCTTGTGATTGGGGGGCCATCTCTTTCTCTTTTCTTCCTCTACAGAGTATGTTGAGGCGGGTCCTGCGCAGTGTATCTACATGCTACTTCATGTGTGGCATGTCTCATTAGCATCTTAAATCTCCACCTAGGGGAGTATTTTACTATGATAATGAGACAAGTTAATTATAGGACAGCCCTTTTTAATGTGCATGTGTAACTTTAGAAACTTTTCTTGGGCCCACTTATCTCTCGCGTGATTATGGTTCTGTCCACTCATTGTTTCTTATTGGCCAGGGAATGTGGCTCACGGTGGTTTTCCCCAGCTGCAGATTCCAGCTACATGACTACCTTTCATGACCACCGACCACATCTTGGCCCTGAATCAAGCTGGTGGCTAACCACACAGGCTCTGGGCTCTGACCAGCTGGTATTCAAGTCCTTGCTCCAGTGCTGCTTGTGCAGCTTTGGGCAGTTAATCTCACCGAGGCCCAGTTTCCTCTTCCAGATGAAAGAATAACCGTTTCTAAAGTTTATGAGTCTCTTCAAGAGTTAGTGCTCAATAAATATTTCATAAACTTCAACCGTAGTTATTTTTGACCTCTACTCTCTGGTTCTTCAGGAGCCCTCTGAAGTCCCTTCCCCTCCTATGACTCTTCCCTCCCTGCATCTCAAGGCAGCCCTGGCTCCCTGCTGGCAGGCCAGCTCCTGGCTGACCTCCACCTGGGCTCCATCCCCTGAGTCAGGAGGCAATGGACACATAATTGGTGGGGTAAGTCCTCGGCTTAAGGTTTCCTTATGAATCTCAGTATCTTTGTGCACAGAGAGTTGGAAGCTTTAGATACTCTGCTGCTGAGGAGGGAGAGGGAAGGGAGAGTGGGGTGTGGACAGTGAAGGCCAATGAGGTTCTCAGAGACAGCCAGCAGACCTCCCAGCTTAATTGTGATCTCAGGCAAGGCACTGAGCCTCCACTTGTTTTTCCTTCCATAAAGGGAAAATACACAATTGGACCCCGCAAGGCATTTGGGAGTATTAATGAGCTAATGCACAGAGAGCACAGTGTCAGGGTTCGGGGAATGACCAATATCTGACTATAGCTGTTTCTGTTATCTGAGGTCACCCAGCCTGGTGAGTCTTTCCTTTCAGAAGGTGTTTTTGTGCAGCCCCTGGTGCCATCCAGTTGGTAGGTTGGTTGCAGATGACTACAGGCATCTGTGTCTTTTAGTGCAGTGATACCTACACAAGTGGGAATGGGGTGTGGGGAGGCAGTTTGAGGGGCAAGCAGGGGCTGAACCCCAGCCCCAGCCCTAAGCTCTGGTTTTGCTGGATGTAGGCCCTCCCTTCTGGGGGCCATGACACACAGAATGGGAGTCTCAAGACGGTGAATGAGCTGGTTAGCCAGCTGCTCTTGCTTCTCTTCCCAGAAAGGCCTCCTGGGCCCTTTCTCCTTCAGCCACCTATTTATTGTTCACGACAGAGACCCTCCAGACTAAGTCTGCAGTGTCTCAGCCTGGTGGGCCTTCCTCTCCTTTTTTTTAGCAGTGATTAATAAATAGTAATCATCAGTGACCACTGGTTATAGTGTCCCTCTCATTTGTGTTTTACAACTACTTTGATCTTACGAGGGAAGTGACACCTGTGGAATTTGAGTCAGTTGCCTGTGTTCAAATCTGTTTCCACCTCTTACCTGCTGTGGGCCTTAAGGCACATCATCTAACATCTCTGGGCCTGTTTTCTCACCTATGACGGGAAATGAGAACACCTCACAGGTGCTCTGAGATCACCCACTGCTGCTGTCAACTCCAAAGATTAGGCTTTGGATTTTCCAGGGTTCCCCCTCCCGCCCCCCCCGCCCGGCCCAGTTTCTTGTTCCTTCAGCAGTTCTAGAAACTGAGCTCTGTCTACAGGGATGGGTGATCCTTGGCCTAGAAATGAGAAGATGGCAGGTCCCAGGTACATGAAGGTGGGCAGGGAGCTGTAAAGGGTCTAGGCTGGTCTCCAGACACAGGTGTGTGGGGGAGTCCTGGGCCTGGAGGTTCTGGCCAAGACTAGGGTACAGCCCCAGACTTACTCCAGGAATGATGGGGTAACAGAAACAGGAAGGCAGAAACTCCAGCCAGGCCTGCCCAAGGGCTCCTTGCGCCTCTTGGGCAGAGGTTATGATGCCAGGTGGCCCTTATTCCTGAGCCTGGTGGAGGCCACCCCACTCCCAGGTACCTCCATTGTAGTGGGTAAAATCTAGATTTATTTCCTCTTGCTGTGTGACCAATGACTACAAACAGCAGCTTAAAACAAGACAAATTTATTAAGTCACAGTTTTGGGGGCTGAAAGTCTGGGTGGACTCAGCTGGGTTGACCTGATGGGCTCTCATCTGGATGCTAGGGGGAAAGTTTGTTTCCATGCTCTGTCGGGTGTTGGCCAGATTCAGTTTCTTGCGATTGTACCACTGAGGTTTCCCTCTTCCTAAAGTCAGCCAGGGCTGCCCTCAGCTCCTGGAGGCTGCTTGCAGTTCCTTGCCACGTGACACACCCTCTCCCTACCATCTTCAAAGCTAGTGATGGGAGAACTAAATCCCTCCACACTTTGAACCTTGGCACTAAATCCCTCCACACTTTGAACCTCCCTGGGTTCCTCCAGAAAAAAAAGGGGCACACAGGCCAGGCTGGGCACTAGCTTACTTGCCTATCTCTGAGTATTCAGCCCCAGCCCTGGCTGGAGCTGTAGAGGATAAATGAACAGGAAGGGGAAAGTAGGGGTTTGAGACCCTGACACGTGGGAGGCTCCTGGAGGGGGGGCTGGCAGCTCTGGTTTGGTGAGCCCCAAGGAGGAGGAGGCAGGGGATGGATAGATGGATGGAAAGATGGCCCCTTAGCTTTATCAGGCCTCTGAATCTCAAGTCAGAAGTGGCAGGGTTGAGGGAATGTGCAGGTCCCAAGATGTACCAGGTAGCATCTGATTCCAGGTCAGTGAGTGTCACCACATCAAAGGCTGAGGCAAGCCTGAATCCAGGGGCTGTAAATGGCCACATTGGTATAGACACCTGGACGGTTGGGCAGGGCACAACCTTTGCCCCAGCTCACCACGCCTGCCAAGACCCAGCGCCCAGACTTCAAGCAGGTCAGGGGTCCCCCCGAGTCACCCTGTAGGAGAAAGGCAACCTTAGATCCTGGCCCTCTGGAGACTATGGCAGTCCTAGGGTTCCAGTCCCTTAGGTGGTACATCTGGGTTGGGGGCCAGGACACTGAACCTGGAAGGGGTACCTCTTGGGTCCTGGGTTCGAGGGAGGTAGGGTGCTGGACACGGGAGTGTGGACTCCAGAGGTTCCAGAGGGACTCCAGTGTGGACTCCAGAGGTTCACGCACCTGGCAGGCATCCTTGTGGCCCTGGACGTAGCCAGCACACAGATTCCCCGGGAGCACTATGTGCTGAGCAAGGGGCACGTTGGTGCCCACGTGATAGAGGCGGTCACAGGTGTGCGAATCCAACAATGGCACCCTTACTCCCTGCAGAGGTCGCCACTCCGGGAGTGGCACTAGGGGAAGAAGGGGGATTTATGAAAGATGAGAGAGGGTCTGGGTAACCAGGGGTGGGTGGGAGGAGTCGCACCTGAGAATCTGACCTGAAGGACTGGGAAGAGGTTTGAGTGACTAAAGGGTCCCAGGGTGAGGCAATGGGGGGTGGGATTCCCCGGCAGGGAGTTAAAGGGGGAACTCCTGGTTCTCCCCCAGTGCCGCTGTGCCCTACCTCTGCCTCACCTCCTGGGTGGAGGCTGCCCCAGCCAGTGACCCAGCACAGAGTACCCGGTGGCAGGTGGGCCCTGGGCTCTGGCAGGCAGACGGGCTGGACTCGGGAGCTTAGGGGCACGGGTCGGTGCAGCTGCAGCAGCGCCAGGTCGCCGCGGGCCCTGTCTTCGGAGTAGTCCGGGGACAGCAGCATCCTCCGCACGGGCACCAAGAGAGCGCGGGGCGAGGCAGGACCCAGGTGCAGCGCCCCGAGGCGCACGCGGTACTCAGAAAGCAGCGCCTGCCTGTGTGACAACAGTGGGGCTACTTACAGCAGCCCCTCCACCAACCCTAGTAGTGCCCTAGTTCCCGAAGTCCCCGCGCCTCCCCGCGCCGTCTCAGCGCCTCTGCCAGGTTGTTTCTCGCTTTCCCTGGGCCTTGTTCCCCCCACACCCGCGTATTACCCTTGCTCGCGCCCAGCGCCCGCCCGCTGACCTCGGGAAGCAGTGCGCTGCTGTCAGCACCCACTGGGGGGCGATGAGCGAGCCGCCGCACACGTGCGCCCCGCGGTGCTGGATGCTCGCCTGCCACGGCCACTCTCCGGCCCGGGCGTCCTGGCCCCCCACAATCCGACTGAACACACGAGGCTGCCCGCAGGCTGCGAGAGGACAAGGGGGACGGAAAGGGTGGGCAGAGTACTGAGGGCCTGAGAGGCGAGTGGAGGCTGGGAGACAAAGGACCAAGGAGACAAAGGGCCAAGGTCAGGGAGGGGTTGGCTCCCAGGGTGGAGTGGGGACCCTAAGGCTTCCTGACCTGCAGACTCCAGCGTCTTAGCAGCTCCTGGAGGAGGAAGCAGGGAAAAGATTGGTTATGGATTTGGTGTCAGGTAAGGGAGTGAGGGGAAGGGAGGTCAGAGATTAGAAGGAGGGTGGAACATTTATGGCACTGACCTGGTGCCAGGATTTTGTGCAGTCTGTTACCTGATTTAACCCTCCCCAGAGCACTGTGAGGTGGGGACTTATACCCATTATGCAAATGAGCACATCGGGGTTTGGAGAACCCAAGGTTAGTGACAGAAAACTTGAATCACTGAAGCCAAGATTAGGATGCCCTGGAGTGCTCTAGGGGAACCAGGCCAGAAGGGGGTGAGATGGGACATCTACTAGCCAAGGTCCCTGTAGTCAGCACTCATAGCCCACCCCCTCCCCTCCTCCACTCACCCAGTACCAGTAGGAGCAGGACGGGGAGACAGGAAGACTCCTTCATTCTGTCTTCAGGACTGGCTCAGGGGTTGGACTCTGGTGAGAGCCTGCAGAGAGAGGGCAAGGTCCTAGCCCAGAGCACTAGGCACCCGCAGAGGCCCTTCTGTCTTCACTCAGACCCTAGTTGATCCCAGACCTATCATGGCCCAGGTTCTATCTGCTTCCCTCTGCCCAGACCCCAAGGACCACCCCTGTCCCCCCATCCCCCTGAGAGATTTGGGCACCCCAGACCTCCAGGAGAGCCTTGGAACCTGGCCCCTTCCCCATCCTCTATTGCCTGACAGCTACCCCCACCTGCCCTGGAAGCCCCTGGTCCCTGCTGTCACCTTCACGGCCTGGTACCCTCCTTACTGACTGGGCTGGGGGAGGATGTGGGGGCTTAAAGGGCCAGGAGGGGTAGGGGCCTGGCGAGGGGATAATTAAGGAGGCCAGGGCGGGGCTTCAGCTTCACCTGTCCTGCCTCAAACAAAGATGCTTTGAGCAGTGCTTTCGAGGTGGCAGGAAAAGGATACCTGCATTTCTTAAAAGCCTGGTTCGGGCCAAGGTGCTGAGAACTGGGGCCAAGAGCCTGGGCCCAACTCAGCTAGGGTGGTGGGGTGGGGGGAGGGGGCCTGCGGTCAGGCCAGGAAGCTCCAGAGGATCCTTGGCAGCTCACCTCCAAACCTGACCCTGGCTCCTGGCTTCTTGCAGTCGCTGGGGCATCTGAGCACTATTGTTCCGTGCAGAAATTCCGGCTTGGCTGGCCCCACATGGAACCCAGACCTCAGGCCTGGGCCAAGTATTCTCTGGACGGGAGCCTTTATGAGCTGCATGACCCCAGCAGTCCTGTCACCTCACCGAACATCAGTTTTCTCATTGTAACAGGAGGAAGGGAAGTTCCAGCCTCACGGGGCTGCCTGAGGTTATGAAGCCCAAGTGCAGTGCCCCTACACACCTGCACTGCTGTCAGGGGTGGCTGTAGGGGCAAGGCAGAAGCCAGGAGGGCACTCCCTTCTGACAACTCCCCCACCTGCCTCCCCACAGTGGGGAGCTGTGAGCCAGGAAACAGAAGGGAGGAATCTATAGCAACCAGAGCTCCTTGTGCATCTTGAGCTCACAGCACTTTGGGATCTTGTAAAATTTCAGATCTGCCTGAACAAGTGCTCTTGAATCTGCCCAGCTGGCCTATTTCCTTGGCCATGCTGAGTTTGGGTTCTGGGAGCCCAATGAGGGGCCAGACACACTTAATGCCATCTTCTACCACTAAGCTACATTATGGTGCTGCAGCAGCTCCCTAGGTGCTGACATTCTCACGGGGGCCTGCTCCAGCTTGGAGCACCCATGCCCTCAGGACACCCTCAACCCATGGGAGTCAGGAGAGAAGTGCCCACACCGAGCATCCTTGTCTTTCAGAGGCCCAATGCAGGGCTGCGTTCCCCATGATTTTTCAGAGGGCCCCCATGGGACTGCACCTCACTCAGTTGCCCACAACAGTAACCTCCTCATTCAGGCAAATGTCATCAGGTTCTTCCTTCCCTGCCTCAGTTTCCCTCCTCACCAGGGCTTCTTGGTATCACCTCCCAAATAAAATACACCCCTGTCCTGGTCTCAGGTTGGCCTTTGGGGGACCAGAGTAAGACCAGGAGCCCCTGACATCTGTGTGATGGGGACACCAGCATGAGAAGTGGGGTGTTCAGGGGTTTTTCCTCCACTATACCCCCATTCCAGCCTTCCTAGCCTCCAGGGACCCTGGTGCTACTAATGTCCTTTCATAAATTATCTTTCTAGTTGAACGAACCCAAGAGGATTCTGCTGTTTGCAACCCAAACCTGTATAGTACAGATGGGTGGAAAAAGATTTAGGAGTTAGGGAGTGGTCTTGGGGTGAATGGGACACAGGTGACCACGAGGGTGTCCAGGAAGTCACCTGAGTCCACGGAATGCTCTGCAAGGCATCAGTTTGAACATGCACATGTGTTTATTAGCAAATGACACTGAAAGGGACCAGAGCCTGATCTAGCAGAGTGTCCTGCCACTGGGGTGCCCACAGCCCTGGGTGAATGTGCCCAGTGTTGTAGTAACTACTGTACCCTCACAGGCTCAGCTGTGCTCAGGCCAGCTGCACAAGGAGAGCAGCCCAGAGCAGAACAAGGAGCAGCAGCAGTGGGCAGGGGTCTGGCCTGGGTGTGCTGTGGGCCATGATCATCCGGATCCAGGTGAAGTACCTACTGACATTGGTGTAGACACCAGGCCGGTTGGGCCTACCACAGCCTATTCCCCAGCTCACGATTCCAATCTGATACCACCGCCCATTCTCTTCACAGGTCAAGGGTCCACCTGAGTCACCCTGGGGAGAAGAATGGGTAAGCCTGGCCTGGGGTGGGGCAGGAGGGACCAGTGGAGAGGCCGGGAGAACACATAGGGCTTTGGAGCTGGGCAGGTTGGATGCAAACCCTACTCCTCCCCCGGGAAGTGACCAGACCTCAGTTTCTGTGTCTGCAAAGTGGGACAATAGTCTTTACCCCTCGGGTTTCACATGAGATTCAAAGGAAGTGCAATTAATGCAAAATGAGAAGCTTATTTTACAGGCAGGATAAGTAAGGGCCGCAATGATTTTCTCATGAATAAACTCTGAGGGTGGATTGGTGGGGGTCATGGGGGTTGCTCTCAGGCTCAAGGTTGAGAGAGGTGGTGCTTGGTTCCAGCAAGGCCCTGGTTGGGGCAGGGGCACTCACTCTGCAAGCATCGCGGCTGCCATTCTCAAAGCCAGCACAAATCATGTCTTCCTGGATTCTATTGGGCCGTTGAAACATTTGGTTACACCTGGAGTTGTTTATGATGGAGACCTGCACTTCCTGGAGCATGTAGGGAGATGGCAGCTCTGCATGAGAGTGGAGGGGACAGAGAAAGACAGCATCCTGAGCCTCTCCTCTGCCATCTGGTTGGGAGAAATGATATGAGTTATAGGGATGGGGATCCCTGGGGCACCCATAGTGCTTGGGCCATTGCTCTTGATGAGTCTGCTGCTCTAGCCCAGCACATCACAGATGTGACCAATATCACAGAATGACCCCAATGGCTGGACAGGCTGTTACAGTAGCTCCCTGAGACTCGGATTCTCTATCTGAAGCATGTAGATAACAGTCCCTGCTCAAGCCAGTGGAGAGAGACCTTAGCATGCACAGGAGGTGAGACTAACACAGCCACAATTGTTTATGATTAGTATACTGCAGCTGCAAGATCCAGGCCGAAAACTTCCCAAATTTGATGAAAGATGTGAATCTATACACTTAAGAATCTGAACAAACTCGAGTAGGATAAACACAAGGAGATGCATACCGAAACACATTTTCATCAAAATATCTAAAGACAAAGACAAAGGGAGAATTCTTGTACACAGCAAGAGAAAAGCTACACATCAAGTATAAAGAATCTTCAACAAGATTAACAGCCTAACTCTTTTCAAACACTCTAGAGGCCAGAAGGCAGTGGGAAGACATATTTGAATGAAAGCCTAAAACAGTTAATGAATTTTATATCAGGCAAAACTACCCTTCAAAAAATTAAGGAGACTTAGGAAGACCAGGTGCTGTAGGTGTCAAAAAAAAAAACTAAGGGACTGTAAGCTGACAAGATCCCTGCAATCTGTGAGGTCAACCAAGGGTTTGCCTCACCAAAAAAAAGGATTGTAAGCTGACAAGGTCCTTGCAAACTGTGAGGTCAACCAAGGGTCGCCTTGCCTAAAAAAAATTAAGGAGAGATTAAGGCATTCCCAGATAAACAAATGTTGAGAGGTCATCATTGGTAGACCTACCCTATGAGAAATGGGAAAGGAAGCCCTTTAGGCTGAAATGAAAGGACACTAACCAGTAACAAACCCATAGGAAGAAATAAAGAACACTGGTACAGGTAAATAGAAAAGCCAGTATCCTTATAGTTTTGGTTTATAACTTTTTTCCTATATAATTAAAAAGACAAATGTATAAACAGTAATTATAAATCTTTGTTAATGGTCACACAATTTATAAAGATGTAAATTGTGACAATAATAACTTAAAGGGGGAGAATAGAGCTGTATAGGAACAGTTTTTGTATGCTATTGAAGCTAACTTGGTATTAATTCAAAATAGATTGTTATAAGTTTAAGTTGTTAATTGTAATCCCCAGGACAGCCTCTAAGAAAATAACTAAGCAATATACAGAACAGGAAATGAGAAGGGAATCAATACAGCACACTGATAAAAATCACAAAACACAAAAGGATGAAATAAGATACAAAAATATATAAGGCATAGATATAGATATACAAAGATGTGACAAGATATAGAAAACAAATAGAACGATGGTAGAAATAAGTCCTTCCTTATTGGTAATTAGTATAAATGGATTAAGCACTCCAATTTAAAGGTAGAGATTGGCAGACTGGATTAGAAAACACAGGTTCCAACTATATACATCTACAAAACAATTTTTTTTTTGATCCAATGGCATACATAGGTTGAAAGTGAAAGGTTGTAGAAAGAAATTCCACGCAAATAGTAACCAAAAAAGAGCTGAGTTTGCTATAATAATGTCAGACAAAAAAAGACTTTCAGTCGAAACTTGTTACAAGAGTTGAAAGACATATATAGATGAAAGCGTCAAATGTCAAGAAGATATAATTATAAACATCTATAGACCTAACAACGAAGCCCCAAAGTATATTAAGCAAAACTGACAGAACTGGTGGGAAAATACACAGTTCTACAATAACAGCTGGAGACTTTAATACTTCACTTTTATAATGGATAGAACAACCAGAGAGAACAATTAGAAAATAGAGAACTTGAGAAACAGTATAAATTACCTAGACCTAACAGATATATACAGAACAATCCACCCAAACAACAGCAGAATATACATCCTTCTCAAGTGCACATGGAATACCTTCCAGGATAGATGATATGTCAGGCCACAAAATAAGCTGCAACAAACTAGAAAAAATTGAAATGATTCAAAACATATTTTCCAACCGTAATGGACTAAGGCTAGAAATCAATAACAAAAGGAAAGTTGAAAAATTCACAAATATGTAGAAATTAAAAAACATTCGTAACCAATGGATCAAAGAAGAAATCACAAGGAAAATTAGAAAACACTTTGAGATGAATAAAATGAAAACACTACATGGCAAAATTTATGACACGCAGCAAAAGCAGTTCTCAGAAGGAAACTTATAGCTGGAAATGCCTATATTAAAAAAGGAGAAAAATCTCAAATAGCCTAACTTACATCTTAAGGAACTAGAAAAAGAAGAGCAAACTAAACCCAAAGGGAATAAAAGGAAGGATATAATACATAGAGGAATGGAGGAAATCAAACTAAGGAATAGAAAAACAATAGAGAAAATCAACAAAACCAAAGTTGGTTCTTTGAAAGATCAACAAAATTGACAGTGAAAGTGGGACATTACTACTGATCCTATAGAAATAAAGACTATAAGGGAATACTATGAACAATTGTATGTCAACAAATTATATAACCTAAAGGAAATGTATAAATTTTTGAAAACAAAAACTCAAGAAAAAATAGGAAATCTGAACAGACCCATAATAAGTAAAGAGATTTGAATCAGTAGTCAGAAACCTCCCAATGAAGAAAATCCATGGACTATATGGCTTCAATGATGAATTCTACCAAACACCTGAAGATATTAACACTGATCCTTCTGGAACTCTTCCAAAAAAAGAATAAGGAACACTTCCTAACTCATTCTATGAAACTAGCATTACCATGACACCAAAGCCCAGACAAAGACATCAAAAGAAAAAGAAACTATAAACCAATATCTTTTTATGAATATATATGCAAAAGTCCTCAACAAAATATTAGCAAACCGATTCCAGCCGCATATTAAAAGAATTATACACCATGACCAAGTAAGAGTTATCCCATGAGTGCAAGGGTGGTTCAACATAAGAAAATCAATCAATATAACATATTATACACTACATTAATAGAATGAAGGGAAAAAACACATAATTATCTTAATTGATGCAGGAAAGGCACTTGGCAAAATCTAACACACTTTCGTTATAAAAACACTCAATAAACTAAGAATAGAGGGAACTTCCTCAACATGATAAAGGTAATATGTGAAAAACCCACAGTTAACATTACACTAAATAGTAAAAGACTGAAAGCTTTTGCCCTAAGAACAGGAGCAATAGAAGGATGCCAATTTTTGCCGCTTGTACTTAACATTTTACTGGAAGTTCTAGTCAGGGAAATTAGCCAAGAAAAAGAAATAAAATATCCAAATCAGAAAGGAAGAGGTAAAACTATATCCACAAATGACATAATCTTATATGTAGAAAATCATAATACACGAAAAAGGACTAGAGTTAATAAACAAATTTGCAGGATCCAAGACACAAAAGTCCGTTATATTTCTATATAGTACCAATGAACAATTCCAAAAGAAAATATAAAAAGAAATTTCACTGACAATAGCATCAAAAAAATAGTTAGGAATAAATTTAACTGATAAGATACTTGTGCTCAAAAACTACACAACATTGCTGAAAGAAACTGAGGACCTAAATAAATGAAAACATATGTTGTATTCATGGATTGCAGACTTATTAAGATAGCAATACTCCAAAAAAGTGAAGGGATTAAGCAGTAAAAATTGATAGTTACAAAATAGTCACAGGGATGTGAAGTACAATATAGGGAATATAGTCAGTAATATTGTAATAACTATGTATAGTGCCAGGTGGGTACAAGAGTAATCACAGGGATCACTTCTTAAATTACATAAATGTCTAACCATTATGCTGTACACATGAAACTAATATAAAATAATTTTGAACGTTAACTCTAATTGAAAAATAAAACTTAAAAAAAGATGGCAATACTCCCCCAAAGCAATCTACAGATTAATGTAATCTCTATCCACATTCCAATAGATTTTTTTAGCAAAAATTGACAAGCTAATACTAAAATTCACATGAAATATTAGATTCCAAATAATCTAAACAATGTTTAAAAAGTAGAACAAAGTTGAAAGACTCACACTTCCCAATTTCAAAACGTAAATCTACAGGGATCAAACAATGAGGTCGTGGCATAAGGATACACATATGGACCAATGGAATAGAATTGTGAGTCTAGAAATAAATCTATACATCTACGGTAAATCCATTTTTGACAAAGGTGCCAAGACAGTTCAATGGAGGCAAGAATAGTCCCTTCGACAAATGATGTTTGGACAACTGGACATTCAAATGCAAAAGAATGAAGTTGGCTCCCTTCCTCATACCATATACAAAAATCAACTCAAAATAGATCAAAGACATAAATATAACCACTAAAATAATAAAACTCTTCAGGAAAATGTAGGAGTAAATCTTTATGACCTTGAATTTGGCAATGATTTCTTAGATATGACATTAAAAGCACAAGTAGCAAAAGGAAAATATATAATTTGGACTTCAAAGTTTAAGAAAATTAAGCATCAAAGGACACTGCCAAAAAAAAGTGAAAAGAAACCTAAAGAATGGTAGAAAACGTTTGCAAATCATATACCTGATATATATTCTAGTATCCAGAATATGTAAAAAACCATGACCATTCAACAACAAAGACAGGTCAATTTAAAAATAGGTAAAGGACTTGAATAGGCATTCCTCCAAGGAAGACACACAAATGACCAACACGCACCTGAAAAGATATTCAACATAACTAGTCATTAGAGAAAAGCAAATCAAAACCACAATGAGAGATCACTTCACACACACTAGGATGGCCAAAAATAAAATTAAATTAAAAAAGGAAAATAACAAGTGTTGAGGAGAATGGGGAGAAATTATAATCCTCATTCATTGTTAATAGGAGGTGCAGCTGCTGTGGAACACTGTTGGTTCCTCAAAAAGTTAAACATTGAATTACCATGTAACCCAGCAATCACCCTCCTAAATATATATGCAGAAAAATTGGAAAAAGGTATTCAAACAATCATTTGTATACTAATGTTCACAGCAGCTCTATTCACAATACCTAAAAGGAAGAAATAACACAAATGTCCACTAATGAATAAAATATGGTCTATCCACACAATGGAATATTATCGCCATGAAAAAGAATGATGTTCTGATTCATACTACAATGTGGATGAACCTTGAAAACATTATGCTCAGTGAAAAAAGCTTGACACAAAAGATCACTTATTGTATGATTCCATTTCTATGAAATATCCAGAATAGGTAGATCCATAGAAGCAAAATCTTGTTAGTGGTTGCCAAGGGCTAGAGGGAGAAGATAATGGGCAATGATGGTTATAGAATTTATTTATGGAGTGATGAAAATGTTTCGGAGCTTGATAAGACTCGTGGTTATACACTGCTAATGTACTAACTGCTACTGAACCATATACTCTAAAATGGTTAGTTTGATGCTATGTGAAATCTCAGAAAAAGAAAAAGGTGAAATCCGCCCCCCTACATACACACACAAAAGGATGAAGTACGAACACATCCTACAACGTGAATGAACCTTGAAACTATTACACTGAGTGAGAGAAACCAGGCACAAAAGACCGCATACTTTATGACTGCATTTATATGAAGTGTCCAAAACAGGTAAGTCCACAGAGACAGAAAGCAGATTAGAGGCTGCCAGGGGCTATGGCCCTAGGGCAATGGGAAATGGGGAGTAATGGCTAATAAGTATGGGATTTCATTTTTGAGATGATGAAATGTTCTGCAGTTAAATGGCGGTGATGGTCCACAGCTCTGTGAATATACTAAAAACCACTAAATTGTATACACTTTAAAATGGTAAAATTTATGGTTTGTGAATTAAATCTTAATTTAAGAAAACAAATGCCTAAGTCCTCTCTGAAAACTCCACCCCCAAAACTCCCAGACACCTGCAGGTTGGGGGACATGGCCTGGAGGAAGCTGGCCCCCTCTTAACTTTGGCTTCTGGTTCACAGTCTCTGGGTGGGAGAGAGAACTGCGTGTGGGTACAGAAAATCCTACCCTTTCAGGGGAAGAAGGAGTGGACAGCAGGTGGGGAGATAATGCTGAGCGGGGACCACAAAGGGGCCCATACATAGACCAAGGTAGGGGCTGGTACAACTGCAAAGGGAGGATAATGCCTCCATCTTTCCATCTTTCCCTCCTATCTGTCCCCAGCCTCACCCATATCCTCACGGATTTGCCCCCAGCCGGTCACCCAGCAGTCAGTCCGGTTCTGGAAGTCGACAGAAGAGGCCAGAACACAAATGGGCTTGATGTACTTATTGTAGGTGACAGAGGAGGACAGCCTCAGCAGAGCAATGTCATTGAGTAAAAACCCCCTGAAATAGGGGTGCATAAAAATGTCCTGCACTTTGTAACGATGGTAGAAGGCCCGCAGGTTCCAGAAAGGTGGCTGGGCAGACAGCTCACCCAATTGAACCATCCATTCCGAGGGATCCCTGTGCCTGGCAGGAAAGGAGAGAGCAGTCAGGGTCCTTAGTGGAGGGTGTGCCACCTGGGCACACCTGCAGCCCACTCCCTGAGTGGAGACTGCCCAGGATGCTACTAGGGCTCATCCTGAACACCATGAGCTTCATTCTTCTTAAAGGACAAAGTGTCCAGTGAAGAAAAGTGAGAACTCAGAGAGGCTGAAGCAAAAGCCCCAGAACCTGGAGACAGGGATGGGGATGGGACAGGAGGGTGCCTCTCCCTCCCACGCCTCCCCGGCTGCTGCCCCCGGGGCGGGATCTGGCCAGCCACTCAACCAGCCTGTCACATCCTAACAACAAACAGACAAACCAACCAACCAAACAAATAAACCAAACAAACAAAAACGAATGAGCAGATGCACAGGTGCCAAAAAGGGATACTCGGCAGGGTGCAGTCAAAACAGCTTCAGGGGCCGCTGGTTCCACAGGCCAGGCTCTGTGCCCAGCGCTCACTCACCTCAGCTCATTCCCCCCGCCTGTGGTCCACCTCCCCTGCGAGGTGGGATGAGGAAGGCTGGTGGCGCCATTCAGGGAGAAGAGAACAGAAAAGAGAAAAAGAAAAGAACGAGACACAAATGTGCACGGGAATGTTCTGGAAGACCTTTCTGGAAAACACTGAACAGGGTTCCCTGCAGGGGCACCATCAGGAACTCGCACGGGTGTGACCAGCTGCAGCAGGAGTCTTGAGGCTCAGGAGAACAGGAGGGTCACAACCGTGTACGACGCGCGCGCGTGGTGCAGACCCAGGGAACCGGGCAGCGCGCCGCTGCCCCCAGTTCCCAGACTCACTTTTCAAAGCAGTGCGCAGCCGAGAGCACCCAGCGACGGTTGAGCAGGCTCCCTCCGCAGGTGTGGCCTTTAGAAAAGCGCAGGCTGGCCTGCCACGGCCAGCGCCCGTGAAGAGAGTCTTTTCCGCCTGTTACGAGCGGGTGGATGTTTGGGTGGCCACATGGCCCTGGGATGGACAGAGGACACGGCTGAGCTGCAGGAGACAGGCCACTTGCCCGCCATCACTAACCAGAAAGTGGGAAGGGAAGGGGCTCCCCGGGAAACTGCGCAAGTCTAGGGGTCATGCAGCCGAGGGAGAAGGGGACCACGAGGACCCTCCCCACGTGGGCCACAGACTCCCATCCCTCCCCCCTGGGGCCCATCAGTTACATGTGAGCAATGATGAGTTCTGGAAACCTGGGGTGAGAGACATGAAAAGATGAGGCACCCTGTGCACTCCGGCCCAGGTGCCCTATGCAGGCAAGCGCGCGTCCTGGGCGCCTTACCTGGAAACAGCAGGTCCTGACCTTTCAAGTCTGGGGGGAGGTGAGAAGGTGAGCTCCCCTCGGTCTCCATGCGCCCCATCCTACCCCCATCACCCCGAGGTCGGCCGGCAGCTCCGGCCTGAGCTCACCCTGCATCTCTAGTTCAGCTCGCACCAACAGCTGCGCCAGCAGCAACACCCCGACCCAAGTGCGCATGGCCTGCTTTCTAGCCGCTTGGCGCCCCGTCTGCTTCCGTCTGCTCCAGGGCCTGGCTGGGGCGCCCCCCTGCGGGCGGGGAAGGGAGAGACGGGAACCCTGGCTGCCATCTTCTCCCAGCTCGACCGACCTCTCTGAGTCTAAGGGCTTCGGGGGGAACATCGGACCTCACAGAGCCCCAGCTTTGAGCTGCCCCTGGAGCTGGGTCCCCAACCACGCCAGGAACCGGTGCAACCAACAATCCCCTTCTCGTCTGCAACCTTGGGATCCTGGCTGCCCCCTCGCTGCTCCTTTTCTACCCACTTCTCTTTCCAGGAAAGACAAGGACCTGGCCCCCAGTCAGGACTCCCGTGAAAGCACACTAGCAAGTCCTCATTGAGTGCCCGTTGGAGCCCTAGCACTGTGTCACTTCTGTTAAAAGTAATGATCTTTTATGGGACCCACAGAATAAAAGCTGGCCTGATTTTGACCACCTAGAGCACTCTCAGCCTGACCGTGTGCCTGCTGTTCCTGAACAAGCCCCACTTAACTCCACAGGCCACTTTCCTTTCTTGTGGGCAGTGTTGCAGGACACCAAAGTCAACAAGCTGGCTCTTCAGTCATAGATGTGAACCGACAACTGAGCCAGATGCACAGGACCACCCTCAGAGTCAATGGTTCACTAGAAGAATTCACAGAATGCGGAGAAACTGTTATATTCATGTTTATAGTTCCTTACAGTGAATGGATTCAGATAACATTAGCAAATGCAAAAGGTGCAGAGGACAGAATCCAGGAGAGACCGGGTATAAGCATCCAGCCATCATCTCTCAGTAGAGTCAGATAGACAGTGCTGAATTCTCCCAGCAATGATATGTGACAGCATACGTTAAGTATTGCCAACCAGGGATGTTTACCTGAGCCTTGGTGTCTGAAGTTTTCATTGGGGTTCCATCACATAAGCATGGAGTGTCCATGTGACTGACCTTAGTTCTCAGACTCCAGGCCCTCTAGAGGTCCGAGTGATACAGTGTGACTCAAGGTCCCACCATAAATCACATTATTGGCATCAACTATCTGCAGTGGCACAAGGCTCTAGGTCTACAAAGATACTCTTTTCAGGCAGGACATTCCAAGGGCTCAGAAGTCGTTTCCTAGGAGATGGTCATGGGCCAGTCCTTTCTTTGGACTGTGCAGGGTTTGAACATCCTAGGCCTGTTCAGTTAACCTTTTACTGCACAGCAACCAAAGATGAAGAAATGTTTGAGAAAAATCTATGCATACACCAGAAGGATCTATTTGAATAAACTGAACTGACTCCAGAGAAAACTGAGAGAATACAGGAAACATCAGACAACTTGGAAAATTCTAACTGGTATCCCCAGAAAGCTTTGAGATGTGTTTACAAGCATTGAACAAGAATTATCTGGGGAAAGAGCAATCAGCGACCAAGAAAGAGTGGAAATTTGAAATATTGCTGAAGTAAAACATTTTAGCCAGAGGGCAGAATAAAAAAATGGACATTACTAAAGGATAAATTGGCAAACTTGACAATATGGAAACATGTTCAGAACTTAAAGCAAAAATTTAACAAGCACAGATTCCATGAGAGAAAAATGTAAAGACGTGGAGGGATCTAAAGATTGGCTTTATATTGATAATTGTTTAAGCTGAGTGACAAATGTTGAATGTTCTTTGTACTCATCTACATCTGTGTATATTTTTAAATTTCTATAATAAAAAATATTTTACGTAAAATACAATAAAAGGTTGAGAAAATACACAGACCAGGCCAGACCCTAAAATTCCCATCAGCAGACCATTAGAAAGGCAGGTATGTACTTGGTGTTGATTTCATATACTCCAAGTATCGGTCTATAGCTATGTGAAATGTCCTAGATTGTGTAAGTCTGAAGATAAAGATGTATCTCCTCCACTTTGTATATTCCTAGTATAACATCAGCAGGCACAGGGAATGTATTGAACACGAATGGGAAAAGCATTTCTGAGTCAAATGCTTTGCTGAGTGTCCTAGTCCACATTATCCAGCGGGTTGCTATAACAGAATACCACTAAGTGGGTAGCTTATCAACCACAAACCTTTCGTTCTCACAGTTCCTGGGCGAAATTCTGGGGTTAAGTTGCCAACAAAGTCAATGTCTGGTGATAGCCTTCTTCCTTGTTCATAGCTATTGCCTTCTTGCTTTGTTTTCCTAAGGCAAAAGGGGAGAGGGAGGCTCTCTGAGGTCTCTTTTATAAGGTCATTAATCTCATTCATGAAGGCTCTGCTCTCATAATCACCTCCCAAAGGCCTCACATTTGAACAGCATCGCCCTGGGGGCTAGGATTTCAACATGTGAATTGGGAGCTAGGATTTCAACAAACATTCAGACCATAGCACCTGGGATGTGAATATTTGACTTCCCCAGTATCACACTCAGCACACTCAGTATCACACTGACCTGATATCTGTGAGCACAAAAAAGCATTACTGAATGGGTGTGAGTTCTAAGAAACATTCATTGATGATGATGGTAAAGACTGTTGTGATGTCTTTAAATGAGATTTACTGTGAAATGCACTGGCTCTTACATAATTCTGATAATCTAGGAGTTTTAAACATAATCTCAAGCAGGCAGGATGTGCCTTAATCCCCATAAGATATCAGTGAATCATATAAAATGTTTTTGCAGTCACAAAAATTTATAATACTGTTAATGGAATTAGTTTACTATCTTACAAGTATTCCAGCAAATATATTCCAAGGACAAGTAGGTTAAGAAATTTAATTTTGGGGGGATTTGTTTCTAAATGTTTTCTTCATTTTTGTCTCTGTTTAAAAATATATATAGGTGAAGAAATTGCAAACAATATGAAAGGGGCTGTGGACTATCACATACCAGAGAACCTCAGGTAAAATAGAACCCAAGGCTAACCCAATGAAATATAGGGATATTTTACACTGATAAAAGTCACAAGCCACTGAAAAGATGTAAGAGGCATGAGCCTATATGCTCCCCGTCAGCATAGCTTTGAAATATGTAAAGCAAAAAAATGTTCTAAATACTCGAGAAATGAATAAATCCACAATTTTTTTTTTTCAGAAATCAAAGTATCAGGTAGAGGGAAAAAAGCAATAATGCTGGAATACTCACTGAGCATGATTTTGGCTTAAATCAAGCATTTGGGGCTGCTGAGACCCACCGCAACCCCCAAGGGGTAATAAGTTCCTTGGAGGGAATCTGCCTGGAGGCTGGGTTGATTGGGGAGGGCATCAAAAGGATGGATATATTTTTTTTTTTTTTGAGAAGTGGAAAAAACTTAAGAATCAGGAGAAGTCTCCCACATCTTTTTCTGTCAGACACAACCTCGGTAAGGTCCCTGGCTCAGAGGACCAGGGTCATAGCTGCAGGGCAGGGCAGGGCAGGGGCGATGGACAGCAAGGTGCCTACTATTTGTGGTCAAAGGAGGATATTAAGGTGAGACAGCACAGGGACTTGAACCCAGGGCCAAAGGAATGCCAGACAGACAGGAAGATCATGGATAAGCTGACCACAAGAATGTGACCCCATCACTTCCTATGCAAAAAAAAAAAAAAAGAAGCAAAAGTAGCTGATTATTATCCCCTCTAACCATTTACTTTCTTACAAATGTCACCAGTGTTCCACATACGCAGTTGACCACCATACGACCTTGGATGGTGATAATGAACAGTCTGCCATCTTGCCCCCACAGTGCAGGCATGAACATAGTTTCCAAGCAACACAGATAGAAAAGAAAGCTGCCATTTTCGAAAAGCCCATCTTTTTTAGCTGATTATTATCCCCTCTAACCATTTACTTTCTTACAAATGTCACCAGTGTTCCACATACGCAGTTGACCACCATACGACCTTGGATGGTGATAATGAACAGTCTGCCATCTTGCCCCCACAGTGCAGGCATGAACATAGTTTCCAAGCAACACAGATAGAAAAGAAAGCTGCCATTTTCGAAAAGCCCATCTTTTTTGCATAAGCCTGCTTTGTCCCCAGTTTGTAAAAGCGGTCAAGCAGAGCCAGCCCCTGAGTCTGTTCTGAGGACCTTCCTTTCCTCTGTGCTGCCTCCCTTGTGCTCATGTATAAGCTTAATAAAATTTGGAAATTTTTCTGGGGTTTCCTCTTGATTTCTATATTGGGGAACGCAAGAACCTCAATGCAGGTAACAAGCAGGCATCATCTTCCCACACTGAGAACAAGGAGGTGGAGCAGCATTTCTCCTCCAGCTGCTCCACCTCCTTGAATAATGGGTCCCCTCTCAGGGCCCAGGCATCCCGGCTCCATCTCAGGCCCTCTAGAGGCCCATGTTGAAAATGAATGACTGAAGGGGCAGAGTGGGATGTGCCTCAGCGTCTACAGTTCCACTCCCCTACCCTTCACCTTCTCCCAGGGGTGCCGAGTAGATTTATCTGGCTTTGCCACCTGTAGGGTTTTGGGCAAGTCATTCAACCATCAGAATGTTGATTCTTCTGCTGTAAGACGGGTATCGTAATAGCTCCTGGGAAATCAGGCAAGAGGGCTTGGCATGGTTGGCAGAGTGCCAGCACATAGTAAGTGTTTCGTAGGTGGTGGGGGAAATTGGTGCTGTGATTTCAGGGCCAGGGCAGAGGAGGGAAGGCCCTAGGGTCTTGCCAAGGACATGGAAGAGGCCAGGGGCCCTGTTTTCAGGAGCAGTGTAAGGGCCCAAGGCCTGACAACATAGAGTGGAGATGTCATCCCCCACCCCAGGGCGAGCCCAGAAACTAGCTGGAGCTGCAATTATCTTCCCCCTCCTGAGTGTGTCTGAGGACTCTGAACCCAAGAGCCAGCCCGGAAGTGGCTGCCAGAAGACACCATGAAGCTGGCCCTAACTGCCGTCCTGTTCTCTCTCCTCGCAAAAGCCCTTCGCGGAAGCCCCCTGGTTCTCCCACTCAACCTCTCCTCAACAAACGCCATAGCGATAAACCTGGACTCAGGTAGGACAAATATTGGGGTGGGGGAGAGAGGTATTGCAAGAGAGAGAGCCTGGATTTTGAGGGGCAGATAAAGAGAGATATGTAATCTCGGCCCCACCCCTGATAGCCTTGTTCTTAGGCAGGTCCTCTAAAGAGCCCAGACATTGGGGACCGGCACCCACTCCCCCAGATTCAGCACCTTCACGGCTTCCACCAAAACCCCACTGCCAGGCACATTTTGTGTTGCACACACTGTGCTGCATTCAGACCCTCCCCAGGAGCCCCAACCCAACTGCTACAACTTTCTCTCTCCCCAGTAAGCTTGGCCCAGCAATCCGGGTCCTCAACTCCCACCTCCCCTAACTCAGCTGCTTTGAGAATTCCGCTCCCCTACCCAGCCCCCAGGGTCCTAAGTCCTCCCATGAGGAGAGGGTCCTGCCTCACAGGGGACAAGACGCGAGCCCATGAGGGGCAGGGCGAGGGGAGCGCAGAGGGGACCTCATCTAACACCACCCATTGCCTCATCCTGCAGTGTGTGGACGCCCACAGGCAACAGGTCGCATTGTGTCGGGGCAGGATGCCCAGCCGGGCGAGTGGCCATGGCAGGTCAGCCTGAGGGAATATGAACAGCATGTGTGTGGAGGCTCACTGATCACTGAAGAGTGGGTGCTGACTGCAGCCCACTGCTTGGACAGGTGAGGATCTTCAGCGAGTGTGAGTCAGGGCCAGCTGGGACCTGCCCTTCACCTCTTCCCGATACCCTTCTTTCCACATTTGAACAGGAGTCTCCTGCCCACCTGGGTGAAAGACAGGTTGAGAATATGTCTCATTTATCCATTCAGGATGCCCCCCAATCACTGGGCTAGGCACAGGAGAGAGTTGGGGAGGAGACAGGCCCTCCCATTGTCCATCTCCCAAGAAATTTTTCATTTCCCAGAAACCAAAAGCTCCCGCATCAGAATGTCCCTTGAGAACCCAAGGCCTCAAGTTCACTGCTCAACAGGCGACTTTTCCTTCCTCCAAATAGAAGAATTGGGCACCTTGCAGGGCTGCTTGTGGATTAAACAGGGTGCTTGTCATTACTGGCATGTGCTCAACTTGCAAAAAATGATCTCTTCATAATGTTAGGACCCTCAAATCAAAATTGTCTTTAGCCCTTGCACAGTCTCACAACCTCCTTAACTTCTGGCCCCAGGAATCAGCCACTGTCCTCCTACTTTGTGCTACTGGGCACCATCTCCTCCTATCCCAAGGCCAATGAGTCCCAGGAGCTCCGGGCTGTGGCCCAGTTCATCACTCACCCAAGCTACACAGAGGAGTACGGCAGTGGGGACATCGCCCTAGTGCAGCTGGCTTCCCCCGTCAGCTTCAGCGACCTCATCCTTCCAGTCTGCCTCCCCAAACCTGGAGACCCGCTGGGTCACGGCACCTTGTGCTGGGTCACCGGCTGGGGGAACATTGACACGAATACACGTAAGGATGCCCAGAGCTGGTGGTGGGGCGGGGTCGGGGCGGGGGGCAACTCATTGAAGGTTGGTCCTGACACCCTCCCTAGGGCCAGCGATACTTGCCACCATCCTTACTCAGGCTAGATGTAGAGCCTGCACACACTGGTACAGCCCTGGGGTGGGGGGCACTGAAATATTGCCATGCCAATGCAGAAGCAGCCCGCCACCCCAGACCCCACCTTGGGCTCTCTAATTCATCCTTTCAGCATCCAATAAGGATTGATTGGAGGTCTCTGGAATGCTGGCACAACCTGGGCCCGGATCATTCTGAAGGATTAGTGCCTGTGCCATCCATGCATTTACAGAATTCACCCATTACCCCTGTCCACTCAGGGCTAGGTCAGAGCCTGACTGCCTGGCCTCATCCTGGCTGGGTGATCTCCACCAGCCATGCCAGGTCGTGGTTTCCTCCTCTGGTAAGTAGAGATCTCAAGACTGCTAACCTCATGAGGTCGATGTAAGAGTTACATGGCATGATGCATTTCAGGCACTTCCAGCAGGGCCGGGCAAGAGTGAGTTCTCAGTATTGATCAGCAACTATCACCATTGCCATTGTTGTCATTGTCATCATCATTGTCTTCTCGGTGTTTTGAGTGTTAAATACAGGCTCACTTTGCCACCGTGGTGTGTTTATTGGGGTTCCGTAAGCCCAAATGCAGGCCCCTGTTCCTTGGGGAGCAGAGGAGCAACACACAGAAAGGTTGTGCCAGCATTCCAACATACAGCAAGCCAGCTGAGAGCCAGGAGGCCATCGCATCCTCTGAGCTCTGCTCTCTGGTCTCCACCCCAGCGCTCCCTCCACCTTTCACCCTGAAGGAGCTAGAGCTGCCCCTCATTGACACCCAGACCTGTGACACCTACTACCACGAGAACTCCCTCGTCCCCAGCCAGGAGCCCATCATCCTAGAGGACATGCTGTGTGCTGGCTTCGAGAATGGCCAGGAGGACGCCTGTGGGGTGAGCAAGCACTTCCGGTGGGGGCCTCAAGGCAGACAAGTGCAATATTTTTTAAATACGAGAGTTAATTCAAAAAGAAGAAAAATGTTCCTGAACCCTGTCTCCCTTTGAAATATCATATAAATAGTATCAAAACATGGAATACCTATAACGGTGCTTAAGCAAACTGTGACATATCTCTCTCCCTAAAGCTTTTCCTTTGTGGCCAGAAATTTCCTTTTTCTTCCCAAAAAATAACACTCAGTCTTTGACAAGTTTTCCTAAGGAGCAGGTCACTTCTGAGCTGGGTTGTCTTTCCTTGTCCACGTTTATAAGCAAAACACGCTTTATCTCCCATTGCCTCTTAGTGTTGTTTTGTCTCAATCAAATTTTTCACGAAATATGAAGGAAACAGCACTCTTAGTAACACAGACATGCTCCTCAGAGCCCCTCCTTTGAAAAACTGTTTTTTTCAGAGAATGGAGTGTTCCCATCATGTTGCTTGTCTCACCTACCAGATATTTCATCCCTAATTCCTAGCCCAGCCAACCCTGATGTCTTCCAGGAACATCTAAGCCACCAATGCCTTGTCCACTAGACCTGGCCAGCAGTGCTGAAGGGAGGTTGGTGGGACTGGGGTAGGGTCCTGTGAACCTCAATTTCCCCCTTGTGTAAGGAGGGCAGCCGGCCTTCCAGCCTTACGCTTCTGGACTCCTTCTTTCTCCCCAGGGTGACTCCGGAGGGCCTCTGGTCTGTGATATTGGTGGCGTCTGGACCCAGGCAGGGGTAGTGAGCTGGGGGTCTGAATGCGGACAGCCCATGAGGCCGGGTGTTTACACCAACGTCAGCGCCTACACCACATGGATTCTCAGCACAATCCAGAGTTCCGCCCCAGAAGACAGAAGCTTCTCTCCAAGCCTTGCTGGGATCGTTTTCTCTGCCTTGTTTTTGTTTCTGGGACCACTGGAGGCACCCCTGTCTCCCTGGGGCTTGCCTAATTGTGCAGCCCAACCCTGAGACCTCAGCCCCCACATTTCAAACTCATGTCCTCTCTACTCCCTGCCAGGAATGTAGAAGCCATCTTCTCCAACCCTCCTTAAGCCCTCCCCAGAAAGCTGCCTTTCACCATCCATCGAATCCTTTGTCCTCCAGGGATCTTCTCTGGCCCCTCCCCTTCAGAAAGCCCTCCACTCTGATACCTCCACATCTCTCCCTCTTCAGACCTTTCATGTGTCCCCCATGGGCCTTAAGCTGCCCTCTCACCCTCCCTGCCAGCCTGTGGACGCCCCCCAGGTACAGAGCCTAGTGTTCCCTGCTCCTCACCCACCATCAAAGGCTGAGTCCCAGCATACACCCAGGCTCAAGGACTCCTTTGGCGGTTTCTGGGACTCTTGGAACTGAGGTTTCCAGTCCCCAGTGCTGGCCTGGTCCCTTTGCAGGCATCTCTGTCTGAAAGGAAATAAAGGTGAGCTGGCAGAGGGCTATTCCTCCTGTGGGTGTCTTCTCATGCGTTGGGGGCTGGAAGGGTGTATGAGAAAGAATCTCCCAGAAGCCTTTTGAGGTGCACATTATTATTATCTTCATTTTTCAGACAAGAAAAATCAGGGCTGCCAATATCAGAGTTTGCCTGAGCCCACTCTCCCCAGTAGCCCTGTCCCTAAACTCAGTGTGCGGCAGAGCAAAACATCTGGGAGGTCCTGGGGTAATGACAAGACTGAGGTCAATCCCAGGGTCGTGGACAGACCTGGGAGTCCTGGGGTCATGGATGAGGCTGGGAGAGAATCCACAACACCCTGGGCACGAATGGCAAAGGCTCAAGCCAGACTGAGCTCGCTCTCCACTCCCCTCCCTCTTTTCCCAACCCGTCTCTCCAGGGGAGTCTGGGAACTGGCTGGAGATATGCCCACTGGCAGCTGGAGGAGAGAGCACAGGGCTGGGACCTCAGGCAGAGGCAAGGCGGGTGTGTGAATGGGAGACCTTATGGGCCACTGTGCAGGACAGAGGAAACAGGAGGAGGGGAGGGAAGGTTGAAACTCTTTGGGTGGGAGCCTCAGCCTCTGTCCCAGGACACTCACCCTAAGCCTGGCTCTCTTACCAATGTCTGAGCCAAGTGAACAATATCCTTGAACAACTCTCAACACCCGCCCCCCACCACCCCCTGGCAGCATGCCAAGGATTCTCCACCCTCTGGATTCTCCACTTGCAAGTCCAGACTGGCTTCCCTGCCTGGAGGGACCCCCAGAAGTCAGTGCTGGGTCACTCATCACTGTGAATTCCACAATATCCCTAGTGGTGTTCAAGATACACGGAAGGCCACCAAGCAGGCACAACCCTCTCGGGACCCTTCTTCAGAGAGTCTTTAGTCACAGGGACACTGGGATAAACAACCTAGCGGTGTCTCTACCCGTTTGGTGATTTCCTTTCCACCCCCACCCGCCAGGAACCCTGATAGGAACATTCACAAAAATGCTTTCAACTTTTGCGAATTAATCGGGATGGTGATTAGAGGGGGCTGAGGCAACTAGTCTAGCTGCCAACTGAGGAAGGGACAAGACTCAAGGCCATCATTTCCTAAAGCAACTTGTGAGAGATTTTTTCCTTCCTGGATCAGCTCAATGGGCACTCAGTAAGGACTTGCTAGTGTGCTCTCACGGGAGTCCTGACTGGGGGCCAGGTCCTTGTCCATCCTGGAAGGAGAAGTGGGTAGAAAAGGGGCAGCGTGGGGGCAGCCAGGATCCCAAGGTTGCAGATTAGAAGGGGATTGCTGGGTGCACCGGTTCCTGGGCCATAATAAGTAACGTGGTTGAGGACCCAGCTCCAGGGGAAGCTCAAAGCTGGGGCTCTGTGAGGTCCGACGTTTCCCAAAGCCCTTAGATTCAGAGAGGTCGAGCTGGGAGAAGATGGCAGCCAGAGTTCCTGTCTCTCCCTTCCCCCGCCCGCAGGGGGCGCCCCAGCCAGGCCCTGGAGCAGGCGGAAGCAGAAGGGGAGTCAAGTGTCTGGAAGGCAGGCCATGGGCCCTTGCGTCGGGGTGCTGCTGCTGGCGCAGCTGTTGGTGCGAGCTGAACTGGAGATGCAGGGTGAGCTCAGGCCGGAGCTGCCGGCCGACCTCGGGGTGATGGGGGTAGGATGGGGCGCATGGAGACCGAGGGGAGCTCACCTTCTCACCTCCCCCCAGGCTTGCCGGATGAGGACCTGCTGTTTCCAGGTAAGGTGTCCAGGACGCGCGCTTTTCTATGCAGGGCACCTGGGCCGGAGTGCACAGGGTGCCTCATCTTTTCATGTCTCTCACCCCAGGTTTCCAGAACTCATCATTGCTCACATGTAACTGATGGGCCCCAGGGGGGAGGGACGGGAGTCTGTGGACCACGTGGGGAGGGTCCCCAGCATTCCCTTCTCCCTCGGTTGCATGACCCCAGGATGCGCGCAGTTTCCCAGGGAGCCACTTCTCTTCTCGCACCCGGGTGGGCCAGGGCGGGCAGGTGGGCCTGTCTCTTGGATCTCACCTGTGTGTCTCCTCTGTCTATCCCAGGGCCATGTGGCCAACGGTCTGTCCCGACGCGTGTGGTGGGTGGAAAGAATGCGGAGCTCGGGCGCTGGCCGTGGCAGGGCAGCCTGCGCCTATGGGGTTCCCACATCTGCGGAGGGAGCCTGCTCAACCGTCGCTGGGTGCTCTCGGCTGCGCACTGCTTTGAAAAGTGAGTCTGGGAACTGGGGGCAGCGGCGCGCTGCCCGGTTCCCTGGGTCTGCACCACGCGCGCGCGTCGTACACGCTTGTGACCCTCCTGTTCTCCTGAGCCTCAAGACTCCTGCTGCAGCTGGTCACACCCGTGCGAGTTCCTGATGGTGCCCCTGCAGGGAACCCTGTTCAGTGTTTTCCAGAAAGGTCTTCCAGAACATTCCCGTGCACATTTGTGTCTCGTTCTTTTCTTTTTCTCTTTTCTGTTCTCTTCTCCCTGAATGGCGCCACCAGCCTTCCTCATCCCACCTCGCAGGGGAGGTGGACCACAGGCGGGGGGAATGAGCTGAGGTGAGTGAGCGCTGGGCACAGAGCCTGGCCTGTGGAGCCAGTGGCCCCTGAAACTGCTTTGACTGCACCCTGCCGAGTGTCTCTTTTTGGCGCCTGTGCATCTAGATGCTCATTCGTTTTTTTGTTTTTGGGGTTTTTTTTTAGGATGTGACAGGCAGGTTGAGCCAGATCAGACCATGGGGGGGGCGGGGAGGCACCCTCCTGTCCCATCCCCATCCCCATCCCCATCTCCAGGTTCTGGGGCTTTTGCTTCAGCCTCTCTGGGCTCTCACCATTTCTACACCCGATGCTTTGTCCTGTAAGAAGATCAAAGCTTATGGTGTCCAGGATGAGCCCTAGTAGCATCCTGGGCAGTCTCCACTCAGGGAGTGGGCCACAGGTGTGCTCACGTGGCCCACCCTCCACTAAGGACCCCTGACTGCTCTCTCCTCCCTGCCAGGAACAATAACCCCTATGAGTGGACAGTCCAGTTTGGTGAGCTGACTGCCAAGCCATCTATCTGGAACCTGGACGCCTATTACAACCGTTACCAGGTGGAGGAGATCATTCTGAGCCCCATGTATCTTGGGGCTTCAGCCTATGACATTGCTCTGCTGAAGCTGACCTCCTCTGTCACCTACAATAAGTACATCAAGCCCATCTGTGTTCTGGACTCTTCTGACGACTTCCAGAACCGGACTGACTGCTGGGTGACCGGCTGGGGGGACATTGAAGAAAATCAGGGTGAGGCTGGGGACAAGTGGCAGGTCTGGGGCTGGGAAACAGGGGCATGATCCTCCACCCCGTGTTCCAGCTGCACCAGCCCCCACCCTGGGCTGTGTATAGCTGGGCCCCTACTTTGGCCTGCTCAGCATTCTTTCCCCACCTGCTTTTCTTTTCTTTCCTGTTCAGAAAGGTCAGAACTTTCCAAACCCACACTCAGTCCCCCTCCTCAAAGACAGAGATCCAGAAGCCAGAGGTGAAAGAGAGGCCACTTGGCCCAGGTTGCACTCCCAGCCTGCAGGGGTATTAGAGGGGTGGGGGTGGCCATGTCAGAAAGGCTTCAGCATGGTGGTCACCCCACCCCCAGCTGCATAGCCTCCTCACTCTGGCTCCTCCATACCTTCTTTATCTATCCACTCTGGGGTCCTTTCCTTTCCCCTAGAAGGGGCTGGATAAAGTGCCTCTGCTGTAGACCTCCCTAGGCCCAAAGGGCTGCATGAGTGTGAGCCAGGGGACCCAGCCAGGCAGACTCTGTTCCTTCCCTTTTTGGCCCAAGACTGACAAGTGGTCACATCCAGCCAGGCTCCACAGTCATTCTCACAGGTGGTAGGTGACCTCTGGAATACCCTTCCTGATGTAAACTTTAGCTCTGCCATGTGCTAGCTAGCAGACTTGGGCAAACACTTCATCTAACTGTGCCTCAACTTCCTTACCTGTACACTGTGATAATAACAGTTCCCACCTCGTAGGGTTTAAAATCCCTGAGGTTTTAAAAGCATTCATGCATAGGTCTTAGCAGAGTGCCTGGCAAACAGGAGGCTCTACTAACATGTCAGCTTTTAGTGTTAATATGGTCACTAACTTCTGCAGGATAAGGTGGTGATCTGAGCCTGGACTTAGGAATTGGACAAACCTGGGTTCATTTCCCCAGATGCTTTGCTGGAGGAGGACCGTCCTCTGATACCTTTCCTTACTTGAAAGTGGGTTATGATTGTGCTGCATTTGGGGGGTGCTGCAGGAGCCCAAGAGCATGTAGGAAATCTCTTGGCTCAGGTCCTGGGATTGCCCAAATACATGAGGAGAGCAAGCCCCATGGGCTGTCCCACCTGCTCAGGCACATGGGTGCTATAGCTGGATTGTATTAATCCTATAACATCTCAGCTGCATTAACCCCTCCCCCATGCGGGCTAAGGTCTCCCCGCCCCCCTGGCTCGGGCAGAGGCTGTCATCTGCATGGGGAACTAAGGGAAACCAAGTCTCAGGGAGGAGTTGTAATAACCAGTCCAGCCATTGGGTCCTTCTGTGATATTGCGCATCATCCATGATGTGCTGGGTGCTAGGCTGGAGCAGAAAACTTATCAAGGCACTGTGGGTGTCCAGGGGACCTCCCAACGAGATGGCAGAGGAGAGGCTCAGGATGCCATTTTTCTCTGTCCCCTCAACTCCCATGCAGAACTGCCGTCTCCCTACATCCTCCAGGAAGTGCAGGTCGGCATGATAAACACCACCATCTGTAACTACCTCTACTCACAGCCTTCTTTCCGCCATGACATCTGGGGAGACATGGTTTGTGCTGGCAATGCACAAGGTGGCAAAGATGCCTGCTTCGTGAGTGTCCCTCCTGACCCCAACTAGGACCTTTTGGGTCCTAGCCTCCCATCACCCCATCCTAAGGCCTGAGAGCCACCTGTATCCCTGTGCCTTATTTGGTCCTCATGGTAATCTGGGATCTGATGGTAGAGACTATTGTCCCCCTTCGCAGATGCAGAAACTGAGGCTTGATTGCTGCTAGGGGGAGAAGTAGGATTTGCAACCGGTTTGCCTAGCTTCATAGCCCCTTCTGCTCTCCCAGCCTTCCTGCAAACCCCTCCTGCCCCATCCCAGGCCGAGCTCACCCATGCTGCTCCCCAGGGTGACTCAGGTGGACCCTTGGCCTGCGAAAAGAAAGGGCGGTGGTATCAGGTTGGAGTCGTGAGCTGGGGAATAGGCTGTGGAAGGCCCAACCGGCCTGGTGTCTACACCAACGTCAGTAGGCACTTCAAATGGATCCGGACGCTGATGGCTCACAGCGACATTCACAGGCCAGACTCCTGGCTTCTGCTGCTGCCCCTCCCCCTGCTCTGGACTGCCCCATTCCTGCCGTCACCCTGAGCTCAACAGAGGCCCTGAGAGTCAGGACCATCTATTGTGTCAGGCCCAGGTCCTCTTCTGTCCCATTTCTAATAAAAACACATTTGCATGCTTGAGCTGATGCCTTGCAGAGCATTCTGTGGACTCAGGTGACTTCCTGAACACCCTCATGATCACCCGTGTCCCGTCCGCCCCAAGACCACTCCTTAACTCTTAAATCTTTCTCCACCCATCTGCACTATACAGGTTTAGGTTGCAAACAGCAGAACCCTCTCAGGTTAGTTCAATCAGAAGATAATTTATGGAAGGACATTAGTAGCATCAGGGTACCTGGAGGCTAGGAAGACTGGAATGGGGATACTGTGGAGGAAAAATCCCTGAACACCCAGTTCTCATGACGGTGTCCCCATCACACAGGTGCTCCTGGTCTTACTCTGGTCCTCCAAAGACCAACCTGGGACCAGGACTGGGGTGTGAGTATTTTATTTGGGAGGTGATACCAAGAAGCCCCAACGAGGAGTGAGGAAACTGAGGCAGGGAAGGAAGAACCTGATGATATTTGCCTGAACGAGGAGGTTACTGTTGTGGGCAACTGAGGCACAATCCTTCTGGGGCTTCCTGAGAAACCACCGGCCCGGTGTCCACATCAACGTCAGTCAGCACTTCAACTGAATCTGGTTGCTGGTGACCCACAGACACATTCACAGGCCAGACCCCTGGCTGCTGCTGCTGCTGGTCCTCCCCCTGCTGTAGACCACCCCACTCCTGCAGTCAGCCTGAACCCAACAGAGCCCCTCAGAGTTGAGGCCATCTGCATCACGCCCCTGGAAGATAAGGAAGCTGGGTGTGGGCATGTCTCTCCTGACCCCTACAAGATTCTGCAGATGTGATTAACTTATAGACATGAGATGGGGGGATTTTCCTGGATTATCCAGGTGGGCACAGTGTAATCACAAGAGTCCTTAAAATTAGAAGAAGGAATCAGAAGAGGAAGTCAGAGTGATGTGATATGAGAAGAACATGAGCCATCATGTCCACCCATGGTTGCTGGCTTTGAAGACAAAGGAAAGGCCACAAGCCAAGGACTGTGAGTGACCTCTAGAAGCTGGAAAAGGTGAGGTAATGGATTCTCCTCTAGAGCAAGGGTCCCCAACACCTGGACCTCAAATTAGTACTGGTCTGTGGTCTATCAGGAACCGGGCTGCACAGCAGGAGGTGAGCAGCGTGTGAGTGAGCAAAGCTTCATCTGTATTTGCAGCCACTCCCCAGCGCTAGCATCACTGCTTCAGCTCCATCTAGATCATTAGGCATTATATTCTCTTAGGAGAACCAGTCCCTAGTGCCAAAAAGGTTGGGGACCGCTGCTCTAGAGCCTCCAGAAAGGAATTTAGCCCTGCTGACACCTTGATTTTAGTTCAATTGAGGTACTTGTCAGAATTCAGGCCTACAAACTGTAAGGCAATAAACTTATGTTGTTTTAGACCATTAAGTGTGTGATAATTTGTTATAGCAGCATTAGGAAAATAATGTGTTACGTGACCCTACATTCCTGCAAGTCCAGGGTGAAAACTCAGAAAAGGAAGATGTATAATATAAAAACAGCGGAATCTATCGAGTGGGACCTGAAAAGAAATTCAAAGGTGACAGTGTGGCAGGACCAGAAAGCAACCAGAACAGGAAGTCAGCAGGCTTCAGGCTGTGAAATGGAATGGATTTAAGAAATAGAATAAATAAGAAATTTCAGAATGGTAGAAATATGTAGCAGTCATCTAAAAAAAAGAAAAACCCAAAACACTGGGGGTGAAGGAGTCAGGACTAGGCAACAACCTCGAGATCCAAAATAAAACAGCCTCTAGCCATGAAATAGCCAGGCTCACCAGCCCTGACCTGGAGAGCGAGGTCCATCCCATCAGATCTGCCAGGCACCAGGGACCTAAGATGAGGCAGAAGTAGGAGAGGGATTGAGGTTCAGAGGGCAACTAAGGACAGGAGAAGGTGGGGAGAGGAAGCCCCCTAGTGGCATCCACCTGACTGTACATCTCCCTGGTGTGTCAGAATAGAAATCTGACTAGGGCAGATGTCCCGGGTGACCATACTCACCCCAGCTGGCTGGGGAGGGAGGCCCGTGTTAGAGATTCTCAATGTCCTGGGGAAACAGGGAAGCTCCCCATGGGGCCTGAATCAGTCCCCAAGATGAGAAGCAGGAGGGAGGAGGGTGGTTCTGGGAGATGGGCAAAAGGGTCCAGTCATATCACCAGCTCCATTTGCTCAGGCCCAGCCTTCGGGAACATTGAGTATCCAGGAGGGGATGAGAGCCCTGCGCTGGTCCCTTCCTAGAGACTGGCGCTGGGACCTGGCCCTTGGCTGGAAGCCTGCGGAGCCAGCAGGGGCTCGGCGCAGGAGCACCTGAGTCAACACCAGGAAGACAGGCCCAGCCTGGTGGCTGCATTAGGTAACAACATCCAAGACATGGTAGGGGAGTGGGCACAGGAGAAGAGGACAGCTGAAGGCCCACCCAGGCCCTGAGAGGACACAAGACCCAAACTTCGGAGCTCTAGGCCCAACACAGGCTCTACTGTGGGGGTGGGGGTAGGGTGGGGTGGGGAGGTGCAATCTCTTCCTGGAACTGGTGATTCATGAGTAACCCAGACAGACCTGGGCCTGCCCTCAAGAACACCACCTCCTCATTGGGACAACATCCAGTCAACAAATAAATGAACAAGACCAAGAAATATTTATATCTTGCCCTTTTTTCTGGGTGCCTGGGGCACACTGGCCCCAGGGCTGGGCCCAACCAGAAGAGGGGAGATGCCCTGGGTGGGTGAGCCCTCCGGCCCCTCTGCTGAGCAGAGGAGAGACTGGTTCTCTCCCCACAGGGTTTCCTGGACAAAATCTGTATAGCTTCTGAAGGCCTCATCTCTCCTAACCCTCCTAGTGTGTGTGTGGGGTCTCCTATACACCTGGGGGAACAGCCTCTCTCAGTCTGCTCTACAGTTTGGGACAGCGCTCCCTCTGGCCCTGGGAAGAAATCCCAAATTAACACTGAGGGGCACCTGGGGACAGAGCCAAAAAAATGAGTCACCACCTGGTACAAAGAGAATGAGAACAGCTTTGCCCTTGGCTCAGCTGCCTCCTGCTGCAGGCGGGATCCCCTGGACCCTGAGGCTGTGCTCCACTGAAGGAGAAGGAGGCTGCAGCCAGCAATCCTGCTGTCCCTACCCCACCCTGTCCTTCCTACCTTCACATCTGATCCCCCTCATTGTCTGCCTCTGGAGGCCCTTAGAGACAGGTGAGTTATCCTTTTATCCTGTAGGGACACCTTCTCTTATCTGAAGAAACAGCCCCTCTTAGGCCATCAAAAGACCCTGTGGGTGGCCCTGTGGGCGTTATTGGGATTTATATGTGTCTCAAACTATATCTTTTTGTGGTCCCACCAGCAACAAATGAGAGCGTAACTCCATTTTTCACATCTAAAATATTGTACCTACCCTATAGACTGTTGTGAGAATGAAATTAGTTAATACATCAAGTGCTTAGAAGCATACCGGCATAGAGTAAGCACTACACATATGCTAGCTGCTACCATCATTATTATCATCGTCATCCGAGACTAACTGGCAGGACTTTGAGAAGAGGAAAGCCTCAAACTCCTGAGGCCCCAGCATGAGAACTGAGTCAAGATGACCAGACTGATCCTGGGATGGCCCAGCCTTCCTCCTTACCTATGGCTCCTCTTCGGCAGTTGTTTCAATGAAACGTTATTTCCAAGAGATGTTAGTGGACTTTATTTGTAAAGGGATTCTATGCTCACAGACTTTTAGGAAAGTTAAATTGATTTATTTGTTGCGGGACTTTTTAATGACTTTGATATGCTAAAATGCATCAGGAATCTGTAAAAGGAAATATACTGGGCAACATTCCTCAAACTTACTTAACAATGGAACTCTGATTTGGGGAGAATTTCATAAGGGACTTGTGAGATGCTGCCCCATGGTCTCTAGTGCCAAGCTGAGACCTCCATACATCCTCCATCTTCTCAGGTGAATTCTTCTTTAGTAAAGTCGCATTCCTTTCAGCTCCTGTCCCTGCCGTGTTCCCCATCCAACACAAGTGGGCGCTGGTGAGCTGAGACCGTGCCTCCCAAGTGGTCCAGGTTAGGAGATGGCACAAAGTCCAGGATTACCCTGGAAACTTCCAATGAGGATTGGATGTTTACTTAAATAAAGCACGTACGTGAAAATGCAAGTAACTTAAGGTGACTGAAACAATGCTTATTTCCAGTCGATGTCGCGACGACCCCGGCCCCCTTCCTCTCTTTTCCTAGCGACTCCATTCTCAGTCACCAGGCTGAGCAGACTCTATCCAGAGTTCTTCACTGGTGTCTCCCTTTCTCTCCACCTCCAGGAGGATTCTCTCCTTCTGGGTTTGTGGCCAGGTGCAAAGCTATGTATCCAGATCATCTGCCTACCAACGAGGCTTGTTTTCCTTTTAATATGAGCAGTGGATCATGACTGGAAGAATTTGCACACTCCCCATCTTTCTCAGTCTGATCGTGCCACTGCCCTGGAGACTTGTTTAAGATAGCTGGAGAAATGGTTCTGTCATTTCTGAAACAGACTTCACTGCAAAGTAAAAACAGCTTTACAATGATTATAAAATTAATGCATCCTTGTTAGAAAGGAGTGTAAGAGAAAAATTTTGAAAATCACCAGAACCAAACTTTTAACCCTCCTCCTGGATTTGGACATTTGAATTGTTGACAAATATCATTAAAAACAATAGCTTTGTGTAAATCTTTATTTATAAATCTCACCTTCCTAACCATTCCTTAGAATAACTTATCTATGGGTGAGATGCTTTAGTTAAATGGGCTTCATGTTCTTAAGGGTTTTAAACCATGATCCCAAGTACACTCCCTCAGCAAAGGAAGAGGGACCCATTTCCCAAAGTGTTCCTGACACTGAGGGCTTCCACTTTTATTTCCTTTGTGAACTTGTAAGTTAAAAAATGCATCTCAGTTTTTAAAGGAGTGATCACTTTGTTTTTGTAAAATCGATAGTCTTGTAAAAAATTGAAATGATACAAAAAAGAAACGAAGAAAAAAGTAGAAAAATGTCCTAAATCCCATCACCTGGAAATAACCATAGTTTCATTTGAACATTGTTCCAAAAATCCATTTGGAAGGGCAGGTTCAAGGAAGGTAGATGGAAGGATGGCTAGGGTGTGGGTCAGGATGGAGGTCTGGACCCATATGCCTGCTTCTCCAGGACACCTCTAAACTCTAGAAAACAACAATGAGATATTTACAAAAATAATAATTCCCAAAGAATGCTGGGCCTCAGAGATGTGGCGGAGTCTCTCAAAGGAGAGAGGCAGATGGGGCTGAGTTAATGGTGACAGGGGCCTCGGCAAGGCTAGGGATAAGGTTTCTGGGGAACTTCAGGTTGGATATAGTCTCTTGGTTAAGCCCTCCAGTCTACTGTATTTGTTACAACAGCCCAAGCTAATATACCAGGTAACAAATACACTTGCCAGGGCAGCCTTGGGGGAATTGGAACCTGGATCTCCCACCTCCCTCAATTTGACATATTTTCAACTCTTGCCCTAAAGCAATTTGAATTACATAAAAGGTTAGACAAAATGTGTGGTTGGGTGTCCTGGTTTTCCAAGAAAAATATTGAGTTTCTCTGGGGAAAAGTAGAGATAAATGCATAGCTTAGAGCATGCTATCCAATAAAGAATGAGTGAGTGAGTAAATGAGTGGGAGAGCCTTGAGTTTCAGAAATGCAAAGACAAATTGCTCCCCTTAGGTTGGGCCTCCTGCCTGGCAGCAGACACTCAAGGACAAGCCACAAAAGCAAGCAAAGGCCACAAACATTCCCCTTCCCCCATGCAGCAGGCTCTTCCCTCTGATTTCTGGGGCCCCCGGAATCAGATGAGTCCACATGGAGGAGTCACCTCCCCCACTTTGTCCCAGGAATCTCAGCCAGGCCAGGCTTACCCTGGAAACCCAAGCCAGAGACACAGGTTCCAGCCTCCAAGGGGCGGGGGAGCTAGAGGCTTCTCGAATAGGGTGGCAGGGAGGCCCAGCCAGCTGAGTGGGAAGCGGATGGAGCCCCTCTTGTCTACCGTGCCTAAGGCTGCCCAAGCCCACACCCAGAAGGCAGGAAAACCAGGGGTGCCAACCCTAACCCACCCACCCCTGAAAAACAAGCCAGCCAGGCCAGACACTGCCTCTGCTGGGAGAAAGCCCCATTGTCCAGGGCTCCTGGCAGAGTGAGAACTGGTACACATCCAAGGAGGGGATTATGGCCTTGTAAATGTTCAGTAAATCCCATTGGAGAGCCCTGATCCTGAGGTACAAAGAGCCTGTGTTGAGTCTCCCTTGGGCTCAGGGCCAGCACCGGGCCAGGATGGACAAGGAGGCAGGTCTCCTCCTCCCAGATCAGGGCCTTCTGATGCAGGTGGACACAAGTATATGCACGTGTGTGCAAGGAGTGTGCAAGCTTCTGTGCATGGGGGAGGAGGCAAGTGTGTTTGAGGGTGCATTCGTGAGTGCGCGTGTGTGTTTGTGTGCACATCCGTTACATCCATGCTCACGTATCTATGAGAATGTGCTTCGTGAGTGCTTTCGGGCAAGTTCCTTCCTCCCCTCTTTGCCAGAAACTGTCTCTCCCTCCACCTCCCACCCCAGGTAGTGCTTCCTGGAGTCTGGGCCCACCCTTCTCTGAGAGCCAAATCCTGCCAGCCTGGAGCTGGAAGGACACCTGAATTGGCAGCAAAACTCACAAAAGTGACCTTAGGCTAGGCTAGGACAGAAACACAAGCCCCTTTGTGCAGCCTCTGGGCTTCTGAGCTGTGCTTGTGAGGTCCGAGGCCTCTTCCACCTCTTCTCAGCAGGAGGTTCCTGGGGCCTGGGGGTGAGGGGTCTGAGCCCCAAGGAGCATTTCCAGGCAGACCGGTGCAGGGCCAGAGGAAAGGGCGCAGTTTTCAGGATAGAGCGCCTCTCCATTGTGGTTTTCAAATGGAATCCCCCTCGCTGCTTCCCAGCCCCTTGTGGCCAGCACCATGGACAGTGCTGTGACTGGTCCAGCGACTCGGATCATCAGGGGTCTGTTGACATTGTGGGTGAAGGGCCAGAGTACACGATTTAGGTGTTCTAGGATTTAAAGTCTCTGTCGCAAGGACTAAGCTCTGCCTGTAGTTGAAAACAGCCCCAGATGATACGCAAATGAGTGGGCGGGGCTGTGTGCGGGGAAACTATTTATGGTTGAGGGCACCGGAATTTTATAGAATGTTCATGTGTCACAAAATACTATTTTTTTTTAACTTTTCCTAACTATTTTAAAAAATGTAAAAATTGTTCTTAGTTCACAGGCTGTGCAGAAACAGGCAGAGGGCTGGATTCGGTGTCCCTAGGTGCCTGATGTAGCCCTCAGTACTTGGAAGTGCCAGTTAAACAGGACCACCACCCTATCCCCCAGTCTTCCCAGAACTGCCATCCTGATGAAACCACTGTTTCCAGTCCTGTTGAGCCAGCACTCCCAGAGCAAGTCTGTGTACACAAGGCCATTCTCTGTACTCTTTTTTCTTATGACCAAATGGCGACATTCTAAACCCTTGAGTCTCCACTGGCCTGTGTCCTCGGGCAATATGTCAGTGCAGCAAGAGTGTTCCATTCCTTCTTCATACCTGTGTAGTATTCCGCTGTGTGGATGACACCATCATTTACGTAATGGGTCACCTCTAGATAGACAACTCTTATTGTTTCTAATCTGTGATTTCAAAGGACAAAACAAAACAAAAAAAAACCCTTGTATAACTGCCTACAAGGTATAAAGTCTTTGGCGTTCAAGAGAAGCATTTTGTTGAATTCTCATAACTCCCAGTGAGTAGATTCTACCGTTATCCACATATATCAGATGAAACAATTGAGACACACAGAAGTGACATAAGCTCCCCAAATTGCATGACTAGCAAGCAAGGAAGAAGGATTTGGGCCTTATCTGGCTCCAGCACCCACACCCACAATCAGCCCCTATCTTGATGACTGTGACCCCGTGGATCTTCCCAAAGGTTGGGGAGGCCCTGCAGACAGCCTTAGCTCTAGCCCCTCACAGAAAGCCTGGACTTGCCATACCAGCAGGATCCCCAGAACCCTAGAGAAGCACCTTGTTACCTCTCAAATAAAATCTGACCCCTCAGCCTGCTCCCAGTTGCTCTTGGAAGGTCTGGCCTAAAGACTCGCTTGTCCCCAACTCCCTGTGCCTCCTGCCCCATGCCATCTTTGCTATTGGTCATCCCACAGCCCATTAAGATTGGTTCATCCCCAGTTATTCCCAGACCTGGCACAGAGGAAAGGTCACAGACATCTTCCAAGTGACAGAGCCTGGAAGGCCAGCGCCTGGGGTATCTCTTCCATCTCATACCAGACACACAGAACTGGATCATTCACTCCAACTCACTGAGGATTAGCGGGAAGCTTGACCTGGGCTTCTGAAAGCCCATGGGACACTGGGCTCTGCCCAGACCTAAATGAGGTCTCTGGGCCCCATGACCTTCTGCGGACATCAGACCTACAGCCCGCTGTAGGGTTGAAACCTGTCTGGCCAACCTGAGAAGGGCTCTCAGCAAATATCCCCCCACCTCTGAAGTGAAGAACTAGTTCTAGTGCTGGGAGAGAGACCCAGAGGCGACAGTGAAATTCCTGTCACGGTCCCATTTTGTTTGTATAGGCTCTGGGGCCAAAATAACAAACACAGTGTGTCCGGGAGCCTCCCCCAGGATGGCTCTGGGGATTCCCCCGGGAAGAGCCCCCACCGACCAGCTCCTTCCTGTCTCCCTGGTGGCCCCTGCTCCTTCCTTCTGGACAGGGGCCCGTATGGCCTGGGAGTGTATAAAAAGCTAGGTGGAGGGCATCCGGGTGCAAGACTTCCCAGTGCCAGGACTAGGTGACAAGACTTCGCTGGCCAGGTAAGGCAGTGCTCCGCTCGCATGGATGGGGCCTGGTGAGGTCCGGCAGGGACCCTCTCTGAGACTTGAGTGACCTACCCTTCCCACCAGGAGCCTTAGGACTCACCAGCCAGAAGCCATGCTGCTGTGGCTGACCCTCACCCTCCTGTGGAGCACCACCTGCTGGACACAGCGTAAGTCTGGCTGGGTCTGCCTCCCTCCAGCCCAGTCAGCTCCCTGGTGGTTACCCTTACCTCCTCCGACAAGGACACCAGGGCTCTAGGCCCAACCTTTGTCACAGATTAACTCCAGTTTCAGGACATCCTATCTGCCTGGAGGGGCTGCGTCCAGTTCTGAGCAAAGATAAACTATGTTTTACTGTGTTTTTTTCTTCCTCTCCCCAACCTGGTTCTTTTGTCCATCTAGAGATGTATGGGACTGGAGGAGGCGAGTATTTCAGTACCTCTACAGATTATGAAAATGAAATAACTGGGATTCGGGTGTCTATAGGTCTTTTGGGCATATTTAAGAGGTGAGTAGAAAGCGGGACACGAAGCCCTATCATTGTGTCCCAATTCATTCCTCGGTCTCAGGAACTTAGGGAGGGTGGCTTAGCACCTCTTTTCCAACGTCTTCACTAGGCTACTGATGACTCTTTGAGGCCAGTGAGTTTTTAGAATCATGGAGCCACCAGCCACCACCTTTCTATCTGTCTCTTTTCTTCAGCCACCTCCTCTACTGCACATCAACCCCACCTCTTTCTGTCTCTACTTGCAAGTCCAGACATTGCTTCCTGGGTTGATCTAAAAAAAAAGGAGTAGATGCTGTTTCTCTCTATTTTCTCCTTTCAACCCAAACTCGACGCAACTAAAAATGGCCTCTGAATATGAGAATGACTGGTGGGAAAATCAAGGGAAAGGTTAAGGTCAAAGAGGAAAGGAAGTGAGGGTCAGTAGACTACTAATTGAACACAAGTTGCCAGAAGTGTGTAGAGGCAGAAAGACCAGAGCTGGTCCCCTAATGTTGGGGTGGTGTTCTTGCTCAACACCTAGGGCAAATCTTTGCCCTGCACTTAAGGGGTCCTGGGGGCCTGGGAGCAGAAATAGGGCAAAGCAGCCAGCACCAAAGGGGACAGAGTATGTGCAGGGCGAGGCAGAGGAGGAGGCTCTAGGATAGGTACCAAGGTGGGAGGAAAGACAGATAACCCTAGGACCAGTGGAGCTAGCGGAACTCCCCAGGTGAGTGTGGGATTTCACCTGCTTCTCAGGCCTGCCGCTTGATCTAGTTGGAGTGATTCAGGCTCAGAAAGCTGAAGCTTAGCCAGGAAACAGCTCCCTACTCTGAGCAATGATGGCAGCTGGCACCACCTGAGGGCCATGGTGACTGGGCACTGTGCAAAGATAATCCTTGTGGATTATCTCAGTGCCTGCTCCCAACAATCACCCCTACTTTGCAGTTGAAGGAACTGAGGCCCAGAGAGGCTGAGTAATAAGCCCAAGACCACAGAGCTAGAAAGTGATAGAGCAGGGGCTTGAGACCAGCATGTCTCAAGAACCCAAAGCCATGTGCTCAGGAACTTATACTGCAGTGACGGGGCTGCTCTCCTTGCCAGTGGCAAGGAGGGGTGGTGCGGGGGATAGAGGATCTGGGGACTGATGAGTCACCCTGGATCTAGAGTGTTCAAAGCTCCCCCTTTCTCCCAGTATCCAGGTGAGATATGGATCCTCCTGGAACGAAAGATATGGTGTCTCAGGTGGACAGACCCAGGAATTCATCCTGTTGCCAGGTGAACACATTGTAGCCATATATGGCTCACACAAGGTTTACCTCCGGTACCTGATCATATACACTGATGCCAACCGCTGGGCTTCATTTGGGAAAGAAGATGGCTCCAGCTTTGTCGTCTACCCCGACCAGCCTGGCAAGGTGCTCTCGGGAATCTTTGGCCAGTATCAGCTCCTTGGCATCAAGGGCATTGGTTTTAGGTGGGATTATCCTCTAACAGGGAATGTCACTGCACAACCATAAATAGCACAAAATCATAAGTGCTCCTGGGTCCAGGGATGGGGCATGGGTCACCCTGCTGAGGCCTTCTGGCTGGTGGTGGGCTGATGGCACTGGGTATCCAAGTTGGGATCCTGAATCAGAATCCAATAAAAGAAACTTCTGCAGGAACAGTGCGTCCAGGCATGGTTCTTGGTCTGGAGTACAACCAAAGCCCTCTGAGTTTGTGAGGGATGAGGCCTCTGGGGTGGAGCTCAGTGAACTGAGATGCAGGATGAGACAGGAGGTGGGGTTGACCCCCCCAAGCCCTGGTACTTCTGCTGAGCATGTTGGACCTTCCCTTGCAAACCTTGGATAGACCCCACAATCATAGAAGATTCCTGGCTCCAAGGATGCCCTGCCCACTACTCCCTACCCCAAGCCCAGCCAGCTGGTCTCTGCTGGCCTAGGCTCAGTTCCAAACTTCTCTGATTATGAAAGGGGCCTTGGAGAAGTCACTCACTCACTCACTCACTCATTCATTCATTCACTCACTCACTCAGCACACATTTGCCAAGACCCCACTCACGTCAGGCTCTCCTGAGCACTGGGGGTATAAAAAAGAAGCCAGGTGTCCAGCTGAAGGACACCTTGTGGGGGACTATTGCAGAAGCAGATGGTGGCAGTTGGTTATGGCATCTGCGTTGATGGGGATACATGCAGGGTGTTGTGCCTGGGTACCTTCCCAGAGGTGGGGTGGTGGGGGTACGCTTCAAAGAAGCCTTCCTGGAGGAGGCAATGTCTGAGTTAAGTCCTAAAGGCTGAGTGAGAACTAGCCAGGTGGAGATAAGGGGAAGAGGCCATTCCAGACAAGGAGATCGACATCAGCAAAGGTGAGAGAGCCAGAGATAAGCAAGGACAGTGCTCCTTAAGTGTGGTAAATTGTTACAGCAGCAATGGGAAGCTAATACAGACCTCAGACCTTGCACATTCTTTGTATCCCCTGCCCTAAGCCTGGAATCCCACATGAGCACTTGCCAAGGTCTGAGCCCTAGAATCCTTTATGAATGAGGCTTCCTAACATTTTGGACCATGACCCTCAGGAAGAAACACATTCTATGTTGCGACACAGCATGCACACATCTATCAAACTGCAAAAGACAAATAGTGATCACCTGTTCACAGCATCCCTATAAGGACAGGACTTCCATTACCACCATTTGCAGAAAGGGAAAACTGAGGCACACAGAGCACAGTGGCTTGTTTTAAGTCACACAGCAGTATGTGGCAGAGTTGGAGTGCAACTTGAGATGGTCTGGCTACAAAGTCTGGGCTCAGAACCCCAGACCAAGGCAAAGATTTCCCAATGGATCCTCATCTTTCTGTGTGAGATACAAGCGGCATCTTCTTCTCTATCCTAATTTTAATGTTAAATCCTAGTTGAGACCCACTTTGTGGTTCTTAACCTGAAGTCTGTGGGGGAAAATTCAGGGAATCCATGAACTTGGATGGGGAAAAATTACTTCTTTATTTCCATTGTTTTCTACTGAAAATTTTGTTTTTTCCTTCAAATATAAATGTGACCTTGTACACCTCATCAAAAGTGCCTATGACCTTGTCATATCAATTAGAGCTGTCCCAGATATCTTGAAATATACACTCATCACTACTTCAAAATTATGGCCATTTTCAGATTTGTCTTTTAATGTGTCAATAACAAAAGCACAAGAATTTATAGAACACACATAAGAAATCCTTTGACAAGTGTATCCGAAATTGCTTTACAGGACCCCTTTTTCTTCCTGTAGTGGGGAGAAGCCCCCGGGGTGGGCTGGGGACTTCCCATCCCAACTTTGCAGCTGCTCTGTGATGCCAGAGAGCCTGTGCTGTTGAGTAATTAATTTCTTGCCCCTGGATTGCTAAAAGGGAAATCTGTTTTCAGTATTAAAGGAATTCTTGACACGTTTCATCGGCACCCACCTTTCTTGGGGCTGACAACTGCAAGGGAGGACCCTGCCTCCCAATAATTTCCGGCGTGGTAACATGGATAGTCAGAAATGGGACATTTACTTGAAAAGTGACAGCACTGATCCACATAGCAATCATTGCCTTGTGACGGGGATCAGATAGGATGAGGAGGAGGGTGAAGAGAGTGGGAAGAGGAGGAGGAAGAGAAGCGGGGGGAGGAGGAGGAGGAGCGGACAATGACACCAGCACAGGGGTTGTTGTGCGAACTGAAAGGCACAGTTGGTGGCACAGTCAATACTTATTTGTGAGATATTTCTTGAGAATTCCTCCATTGTTCTGTAGCAAACACAGCGCGCCCTCCGTCGCGAGCCAAGCCTGACACCTTGGTGGTTGATACGCCTCACCTATTCTCAGGACCTGGGGGTCATCCTGATGCAATCCTCCCACAGTGCACAGGCGCAGGGTCAGGCCCGGGGTGCGGGTGCTTGGGGGTGTCCGGGCCCACTCCCTTTGGTGACAAAGACCACGCAGGCTCACGTGTATGGGGAACATTTATTCAACACGGGCATTGAGGGTCGCTCTGGCTTTGTCAGGTGGTACCCTCCGAGTCACCTCGTCTCCTAGGTGTTCTGGCCGCGAGGATGCGCGCGCAGTGGGACCCAGGACCGGCTCAGGACTGCACAGGGGACCTCTGAGACCCCCTTCCCCTCGCCAGTTGTCGACTCCTGGGTTACCGCAGGGGACCCCTGGGCGAAGGCTTCTCCGGGGTAGATCTCCACTTGAAGCTGATCCCTGAAAGGCAGAAGAGCCAGTGCTGGCCGGTGGCGGACAGAAGCTGCTGACCTGCAGCAGGAGGATGGGCGCTGAACCTCAGGCCCCCTGGGCACCCAAAGGTGGCCTGGCGCCCCCTGCTGGTGCTCCAGCTCAAGTGCCGGATACGGGCGCGCGCGCTGCCGGCCACCGCGATAATGCGCTCGCGCGTCCACAGGAGGAGCTCCCGCGCGCGGTCGCTGGGGACTCCATACCCGGGGCTCCGTACCACCGGCTCCGGTGCTCCCCAAACCTCAACTGGATGCCGAAGAGCAGGCGGACTCACCCGCCGAGCCCCGCCTGCCCGAGGTCTCCGTGACCAGCTCGGCCAGCCTCACGCCTAGGAAGTCCTTCCCGCTGTTTGCCCAGTTCTTGGCCAGGACTGGTAGCCCGCTTCATCCCGCGGGAGTGGCCAGTTCTTTCCTTCCTGTAACAACCCCCCAGCCCCGGGGCTGCCGGCTGGGCTGCTCCCGGTTCCTTACATGCACTTCTGTCTCCTGGATAGGTGCTTTGCTCACCTTTTCTCAAATCAGTGGTCACAGCCACTTTCTCCAAAAAGGGGCAGAGGCCTCCCTGGGATATATCCCTCCTCTTCAGTCCCTAAAGAGTCTGGCCCCAGGTGTGGGCATGAGACACATAGCAGAGGTCTTGGGTCCCCCGGCTGCTTTGAGTCTGTTCCTCCATGTTCTAGTGGGCTCGGTGGGCAGCTGTGTGCTGGCTGGGGCAGAGGACACCGCCGTGGAAACTGTGGCCAGGACCTCCTTCTGCCCCAACGCAAAAGACTGACTCTGTGTGGGGCGGCTTTCTCACTGCGGCCCTCCTCCTGCAGCTGCATCTTGTATAGAATCTGCCCAGCTCACAATTTCCCCTCTCTGGGCCCCCTCTCGCAATCCACCTGGAGTGAGACTAAGGCAGCCCCATTGAGCCCTTTGGCCCATCCCCTCACCTAAGCCCAATAGACCACAGGTGGATCTTAACCCAAGCCAGGCAGTCATTCTCAGGGCCAGAGGTGGGCATCAGGCTTTAGGTGTGTCTGGCGGTGTCAGATTTGAATCGGGGTCTTTGGGGGCAGCTGTGTCCACCAAACAGATGCTTATTCCTGCTCTTACATTCCAAGACATGTCCCAAGTAGGAATGCCAGATAAAATACAGGACACTCAGTTAAATTTGAATTTCAGATACACAACAAATAATTTTTTAGTGTAAGTACATATCAAATGCTGCATTTTTTAAAAGCATAACTAAGTTCCAAATATAGTTTTTTTTTTAATATAGATATATCCCAAATACTTCATGGGGCATACTTATACTAAAAAATTATTTGTTGTGTTTCTGAAATTCGAATTTAATGAGGTGTGCTGCTTTTTCTATTTGCTGAATTTGACAACTCTAACCCAAGACACTTTGGATACTGCAGGAGGAGCAGTCCCAAGAGGCAGAAGCTAGTGGGAGCAGTTAAGACTGCGCCTGTCAGGGGGTCCACCCCTCTAGGACAGAGCAAAGGACCAGTGAGGGAGACAGAATTGCATATGACTAAGCAGGTTTCTGCCATTTACTACCAAGGGGCCCTAAGGCACCAGGAAAACCCCAGAAAAAGAATCTTTCAGATGATTCCATCCTGACACACGTGTATGAGAGCACTTCTGAGCTTTAAGCACTTTCGCCAGGCCTCATTTAGGACTTGCCCCTCCCCTACTCGAGCTTGTATCATTCCTATCTCCCTCTAACAGCTCAGGCCCTGAGTGGGACCCAAAGGTGGGGGTGGAAAGGCGAGACTGAGGATATGCTGAGTGGAGTCAGCAGGA